GGTTCAGACAAACTCTCAGATAAGAAAATGAGGGAAGAACGAACTTTCGGAGTCAGGGGTTCACTCCAAATTAAACTGAAAATCTATACGAGGGAATAAGCGTATACATGCATTGTGGCATGCTGAAATATTAGTCTCATGTTGTTGCTCAGTTGTGTTCAACTCTGCAACCCCAGGGACTGCAGAACGCCAGGCCTCCCTGTCCCTCACTATCTCCCAGTTTGCCCAAGTTCATGTTGATTAAATCGGTGATGCTATCCAACCATCTCATCCTCTGTCGCCCCCTTCTCCTTTTGCCTTCAATCTTTCTCCCAGCACCAGGGTCTCTTACTAACTGTCAAAAGTATTTTTCATAGGCAAAGACAGATATTGAACTGAACATGTCAGGGCCTGAAGAATGGGCCCATTCTGACTGCAAGATGAGTTTCTGCTCTGGACAATACAGTTTTTCCTTCGAAAAGCAGTTAGCATCATTGGGTCACTGGGTGTCTGCAGCATTTGTGGCGCCAGCTCTTCTCAAAGTCCCAGAGAGAAGAGTCACTAATGCCCAAAGGACCAGCGCTTGGCAAAGCGCTCTAATCCTAGGCAATGCATAGAAAGCTCTGGAACCGTCAGAAGGCTTGCGCTTTGTACAGAATATCGCCCACTGCAATAAGCATGATGCGTCTATCCTAAGTGCTCTGCAATGTTAATTTCCTGATACGATGCAGTTGAAAAATTAAAAAAGTGAAAATAGACTCTCAGATAAAGGGCCTCGTAAGAGCTTTAAGATAACCTCAGTATAAATAAGGAGATTGTGGCTCAGGAGGGGTGAATGCCATCGGCACCTTTCTGATCCTTATCTCACAGGTAAGTATTAACTGATTCCTGTGTTTGCGTTCTGTTTATTGTGCCCCTTCTGTGTCAGCAGGATGCTAGGCCCTGGGGATAAGAGGTGACTAACACACAGACCCTGCCTAGGGAAGTTCAGGGCCTACATGGTATAATAGATGTGAAGAATGAACATGGTGAACGTGAAGTCGCTCAGTCGTGTCCAACTCTTTGCAANCCATCCCAGTATTCTGGCCTGGAAAGTCCTATGGACAGAGGAGCCTGGTGGGCTACAGTCCACGGGATCGTCAAGAGTAGGACATGACTGAGTCTGCACGCAGGCAGCCTCCAGCCAAGATGTTAGAGCCAGCTGAAGGAGGACCAGTTGATCGAGTCATTATAAAGAGAAAGTTACCTGCTGCTGTGCTGTGCTCCCTGGCTCAGCTGTGTCCAACTCTGCAACCCCATGGACTGTAGCCCACCAGATTCCTCTGTCCATGGAATTTTCCAGGCCAGAACACTGAAGTGGGCTGCCATTTCCCACTCCAGGCGATCTTCCCGACCCAAGGATCGAACAGGCGTCTTTTGCGTCTCCTTCATTAGCAGCCAGATTCTTTAGCACCAGCTGGGAAGCCAATGTATCTGAGACACGCTGTAATACTACTGTTTGTATTGTTGAAGAAACCACTGCTTCAAGCATGCCGGCAAGTGCCTCAGTGCACAGCGTCAGTGCCAGGGATCTGCTCCTATTTGCTGGAACAGCACAGTTCAGAGAAAAAGGCCTTGGAGAAGGAGCTTGGAAGGCGGGCTTCTAGCTGGTGCTATTTCAGGCAGACCTCAGAGATAATGCAGGTTTTGGTCTAGACTTCCCTGGTGGATCAGATGGTAAGGAATCTGTCTGCAATGCAGGAAACCTGGGTTTGATCCCTGGGTCGGGAAGATCCCCTGGGGAAGGAAACAACAATCCACTCCAGTATTCTTTCTTGGAGAATTCTATGGACAGAGGAGGCTGGTGGGCTACAATCCATGGGGTCACAAAGAGTTGGACACAACTGAGTGACTAACACTTTCACACTTTCACTTTTTACTTCCCCAGCGAGGGATCAAGCCAGGATGTTGAAGAAACCACTGCTTCAAGCATGCCGGCAAGTGCCTCAGTGCACAGCGTCAGTGCCAGGGATCTGCTCCTATTTGCTGGAACAGCACAGTGCAGAGAAAAAGGCCCTGGAGAAGGAGCTTGGAAGGCAGGCTTCTAGCTGGTGCTATTTCAGGCAGACCTCGGAGATAATGCAGGTTTTGGTCTAGACTTCCCTGGTGGATCGGATGGTAAGGAATCTGTATGCAATGCAGGAAACCTGGGTTTGATCCCTGGGTCGGGAAGATCCCCTGGGGAAGGAAACAGCAATCCACTCCAGTATTCTTTCTTGGAGAATTCTATGGACAGAGGAGGCTGGTGGGCTACAGTCCATGCGGTCACAAAGAGTTGGACACAACTGAGTGACTAACACTTTCACACTTTCACTTTTTACTTCCCCAGTATAATGAATATTGTGATAAAGCAAGAATAAAAATTTAAGCTTTATTAAATACATGTATAGACATCCCTCAGAACTATTTCAGGCCATCACTGTAAAGTGAATATTGCAATATAGTGAGTCACATGAATTTTTTGGTTTCCCAGTGCACATAGAAGTTATTTGCTGTAGCTAAGTTGCTAAGTCGTGTGCGACTCTTTGCAACCCCATTGGCAGGTGGATTCTTTACTACCGAGCCTCCTGGGAAGCCCTTTCTAAAAGTCAGGTTTACCCGATACTGTAGTCTGGGCTTCTCAGGTGACTTAGTGGTAAAGAATCTGCCTGCCAATACAGGAGACTCCGGTTTGATCCTTGGGTCAGGAAGATCCCCTGGAGAAGGAAATGGCAACCCACTCCAGTATTCTTGCCTGGGAAATCCTACGGACAGAGGCAAGCTACAGTTCATAGGGTCAGGGTCGCAAAGAGTCGAACACAGTTGAAGCAACTTAGTGCACACACACAGATAGTAGGATTAGAATAATTAAATAACTAAAACCTCTCTATGGGAAATTGAAGCATTTTTCTAGTTTATATTAGAAAAGCTAATAAAATTATTAGTGGTTATCACTTCAAAATACACTCGCTGCTTTTGTTTGAGAAGTACAGAGTATTGCCTTTGAACCGAAGAAAGGGAGGAATATCCGGAAACTCAACCTGGTGATGTTCTCCATCAGACTTGACCGTAACTGAGGGAGGAGGGCCAAGTGGAGTGAGAGGAGACAGAGGAGCCAGACCCTGACCGCAGAGTGAGCAACAGCCCAGAGCTTCTAGCTTCTGGTGCTGGATGGTGTCCAAGTCACAGACCCTGGCATCCGAACCAACTCGACTCTCAACTTCCAGCCACTTCATGCAGGCTCCAAAAGCTGAGGTCTGCTCCGGGAATAGAAACCTTCTCTGTTTTTCCTAAAATCCTCTTTTAAACGGTTTCAAGGTTGTGCAGTGTTTTGCTAATGTTTTAGGGAACTATGGAAAAATTTGCACGCTGTAGGGAGAAATAATACAACCAGGGCTGCCTGGGGTGACCTACCTGACTCAGGCAGGCGTGCTATCAGAGGTCTCCCCACCCTGGGGAGGTGGCCTGGAATATGCTTCTGACATCCCCGTGCAGTTTCCCAGTGCCCTGAGGGACAGACCGGGAGGAAGGGCTGGGCTGGGGTGATGGGGTGGCCACGGATGCCGAGTCATGACCCAGTGTCAGAGGTCTTAGGCGATGGGCTACAGACCTTGTGTCGTCCTGGAGGAGTTTACTCAGGTGTTGGGTCAAAGGAGCAAGTATTAAGCTATGGGTTTTGGAAAAAAAAAACCCAAGCAAGGTTTAAAATGTGTGTCAGACTTGATTTTAAGGGACCCCTCTTAGGGCTCATCTAGCTAAGTGGTTCTTGTGATAATGGCCAGTGACAATGCTCACAAAGTTCCTCTCATCACTTGTCCCCAAACCTCTTATTGTTTTATGTCCTCGGTATCAGTCATTTATGACGGGAATTGCACACACTCAGCTATTTCAGTTACGTTTTTTTCCATTAAGCTGTAAAAATGGACAATTTCTACAGGACTTAAATATGTAGTCACCACAACAAACAAGGAACTGAGTTCAAAAGACCCCTATTTCTTTTTAGCCTCTTCTCATTTCCATCTTTAGAACTCACAGAGCACAGTCTACGATGTGAAGCTGTTTATAAATGTCATTATTATTTTCTTGCTACTGTTGACAAATGTTATAAGCAATCTTAAGTCATATACTGTGTGCTTTGGATTATAGAGTATGTTGGAATTTTTTCCCATTTGTTTTGAACACATCTCCTACATCCACATTGCCCAGGTGAGTTGATAAAGGGTGTGAACTGCTTATTTAAGGCTGTGCAGTGTCACCGACAGGCCCTGCCAATGAGGAGGTGCTATCCACTCTTGTTCACACCTCTATCCTTGAAGACGGTGCAGGGTTTTGGATTCTGTAGGTGCCTGGTAAGTATATGGTGAATGATGGCTCCATAGGAAGGATACAGCAGTGTAAACATAAAAAGAAAGCAACTTTTACCAGTGAAACAAATCATACCAATTAAATTTGGAAAAGAGGCAGTTGACTCTGGGTGTTTAAAGATAGGCTGGAAATTATTCAGTAAGACAGAATATCATTAAAAAAGGCAAAGCCTGCCTTCCTTCGGCATGTAAGAAGCCCCTTACAGAAATGCCAGAAGTTGACCCTCTATTCTTAGACTCGATGAAAGCAAAAGTTGCTTAGTTGTGTCTGACACTTTTCGACCCCATGGACTGTAGCCTGCCAGGCTCCTCTGCCCAAGGAATTCTCCAGGCAAGAACACTGGAGTAGATGGCCATTTGCTTTCTCCAGGGGATCTTCCCAAACCGGGGCTCGAACCCAGGTCTCCTGCCTTGCGGGTAGGTTCTTTACTATCTGAGCCACCCGGTGAAGCATAGACTCAACGCCATCCTTGATTAACAGTCGTTTGTATTTTGGGATGAAAATATCTAGGAGAGGTTGTCACCTTATCTAGCACAGCACTGCACTAAGGAATACAAGACTTCTCCCTTTGAAATGGCAATTTCCTCTTTTCCAAAAACAGACACAGAGGTGGGGGCTGGGGGTGGGTCTGTCCTTACCGTCAGCGACAAGGCCATGCAGACGAACGTGAACTTCTTGATGTGGGCTGCTGTGACCGTGTTGCTCGTGCTCACCAGTTTATTGCTGGGGTTATTCTAGGGGGGCAAGAAAAGGCTCCGGGTTATCCTGGGCTGACCGCTCATGCTTCTTACCGAGCATCTCGTTTCTGTTTGATTTGACGCATCTGAAGCATAGATGTCAAGGGACAGCTTGGAAGACGGCTGCCACTGGACGTCTCTCTCAAGACAGCTGTCAGGCTTCTGGACTCCTAACCAGAAGGAGTTCCAGATTGAATTGCCCAGCAGTGTCTCCGGAGTCAGTCCCCTCTCCAGGGCGCTGGGTGCCTACCCACCTAATTCAGGGCCCTATTCCTTCCTGCAGTATCCGACCACCCTGGGGTCTGCAGGCAGGCAGGGATGGCAACTGAGCCTGTATCAGGGGGCACATGTCAAGACTCCTGTGAGGGGCACATTTGCTCCCTGAGATAAAGGACTGGGTGTTTCACCCATCTCTTTAGCTCCTGCAACTCAGCACCATCTTTATTAAGTAAAGAAGATGCTCAAACAGCCCGTGTTAAATTGAAATGTGAGTACATTTCACTGACACATCCCCGAGGCTGGCTGATGCCATCTCAGCGTCATTGCTAAGTGTACCCGCCACTCAATCAAAACCCTTGATTGAGGGTCGAGTGTCTGGTCCTTGACTGTGAACAGCAGCTGAGAAAAAAAAACGCCCACCTCATTAGTATCCAGTGAGCCCCAGAGTTGACTCACGGAAACAAACAAGCCCCTGGCTCCCACATCAACCTAATGATAGAGGTACAAGTGGAGGTGTTACAGGTCCCACTTGATGTTTGCTTCCCATCAGAGGCTGAGACAGTCTCTGGAAGCCCTTCTCCTTTATGTCACCCACACAAACCTCTGGCGGGATTTCCATTTTCTTCACTCCAGTCTCTAAAGCACACCTGCTTTTCCTGGAAAACAGACTGCCGCGCTGGTACAGTGCCCATCACAGCACGTGGGACATCTCTTCATCTCCTCTCCCCCAGGGATCTGCGAGGGTGATCCCTGGTGGGCTGGGTGAGAGGGGGCCCCGCCTCCAAATGTACATGCCCGCCCCCCACCCCCCCCCGTGGTGACAGCCACGGGCCCCAGCTCCCTCAATGTGCTTTGATTTTTAAGACAGCAAGTATGTTTGCCAATATGGTTGGAGTAAACCGGCACGTATCATTAGCTCAGTATCAGTGTCTTGTCTTGCTTGCCCCATCGGCTTTTTTGCAGAGATACACTCTCTTGCAGACGATAACCGAACACTGGAGAGAATACGAAAGAGTGGAAAACTCTCCCATCTCCCTGTTTAGCTAGAAACATCAGAAGTTATGCGAGAAATGTTAAATCTCTAAGTCTGGAACCCACAAGCAGGCTAAGGATTTTCAACTGTCAATGCAGCAAATTCCGGAAGTCCACACAGAGGTGTCTAAGATCTGGGTGAATAGACGGCATTCATGGGAATGGCCGGAGTGGTGCGGAGGAATGCGTGGTGACAACAGGGAGGTTTCATAAGTATCCTGATTTCCTCCAGCATCAGGCTCAAGAGATGCTCCTTAAAGGGATTTTTCATAGCATCTAACCTCTGTAATCGTGAATAAAACAATGTTTTTCTTGGCTGCTCTTAGCGAAATTGTATAGGGCTGCATTGTTAAGTTTAATAATTTCAAGGTAGCCAAAACCGATTTCAGATGAGACGCTCACAGCCAGGAGGTTTGAACACAAGTAGAACCCTGCTATTGGATTTTATTATATAGTCTTATTCTCCAAGAGCTAAACATTTAGCAATAAGACTTATATCCATCTTGGTTTTCGAGGACTTACTTCTATATACATGTTCCTTGACATGAAAATACTGATTTCTCTCCATAGATTGACTTAAACCCAGTCCAACATAGCTCTCTGCTGCACATGGCTCAGACCTTCTGATCCACTCTCGGGCTTGGGAAGCAGGAATCAAAGGCATTTTTTGGGACACGCTTTGCATCCTGATGCTCCAAGTGAATGTTGGCAAGTGGTGGAGCGTCCAACTCAGTTTACTGGGGAAGTTCCAACCTTGTAAAAAGTTCTGAACGAGAGCCTCCCTCTCTCATGTGTGGCTGTGTGGTGGCGATCCCTGACTTGCCTGGAGGGGAGCTGCTACTCACAGGTGACTGATTATGGGTCGGGGGAGAGAGGCAGGTAATCTGCGGGGGACGCTGGTGAACAGACTTCCTCTCGTCACCTCTCAGGGCTCTTTTGGGATCAGATTAAAATGATGTCAGTAGTGACTCTGAGCTAGTTCTACAGAAATTCAAACAGTTGCTCTTAAGAGTACAAGGGGCAGGCTGATTGCTTTTTCCCTATTTTTCCATTTTAAAACATTGCATACAATCTTTGGGGGACGGGGTCTCTTTTTCTACTTATTTGTTTTAGGTTGAACATTTACAGGTTCAAATAATTACACTTGAATGAAATAGGCATTTCTCAAATGACCTGCAGGTCAGTCTTGACATGGTCTCAGGTTACAGGTCTGAAGACTTATTGCCTCCCTGCAATGTCAGCAGAAGCTTTCAGCTGGAATAAGTTCATCCCAGTCCTGAATATTCATTGGAAGGACTGATGCTGAAGCTGAAACTCCAATACTGTGGCCACCTGATGCGAAGAGCTGACTCATTGGAAAAGACCCTGATGCTGGGAAAGATTGAAGGTGGGAGGAGAAGGGGATGACAGAGGATGAGAGGGTTGGATGATATCATTGACTCAGTGGTCATGAGTCTGTGTAAACTCCGGGATTGGTGATGAACAGGGAAGCCTGGTGTGCTGCAGTTCATGGGGTCACAAAGAGAAGGATATGACTTAGCGACTGAACTGAACTGAACTAGCCTGCACCCAGGGTGTGCATGTACCCCCTCGAAAGAAAGCCATAAGCTTATGAACTCAAGCTGTACCTTCACATTACCTATGAGGTCAGTAAAAACAAACAAACAAAAAGCAACAAATCACAGAAATGAAAACCATATATTAATTTTTTTGAGCGTATCATTTCCCTTTCGCAAATAATTTCTCAATAGGAGTAACCTAGAAGTGAGGACTGGTTTGGAGACATGTTCTGGGAGCTGCATCAAGGCAAGCATCAATTCACCTCTGTGATTTCCGGAGGGACGTGCTCCACAATTACCTCCACCAGCCCCAATGCTACATCAACCTTGCAGAGGGAGGTGAGGCTGAGAGACACCGAGGTGTCCATCACCGGAGATCGCTATCTCTCAAACGCTAATTTTAAAGAGAGTGTTTCGGAAACCACGCCGCATGGGGTTCTCACCTTGTCAAAAGCAGGGTAGACGGCACGGATTTCTGTCAACCAGCCATATGGCATGTGACCCACGGGGTATGTGGCCGTCAGAATTGCCACAGCCTGCAAGAGGAAGAGCCGGCAGTTAGCAAGGCATCCGCAGAGAGCATCTCCAGCCTCTGCCTGCCGCCTGCCACGTGGCAGCGTGAGACGTCTCAGCTACAGCCCCCTGACAGGTCATTCCATCCCGGGTGACAGCCTGGCCAGCCTTGGGACGGCCCTGGAGCAGAAGGAAGGGGCAGAGGTCCCTTGCATCCTGGGGAGCGGGCTGAGCAGGTCCAGAGTGTGCACCTGAGACTAGGAGGATGCGTCTTGTTTAGATACGTTTATCTAGGTCCCGATCGCTGATTGAAAAGCCAAGATTTCAACCCTGGTCCGCCAGGTGCTCACAGAGCCAAACGGAACCCTCCCGTCTAGCCCGATTCTTGAGTCTCCAAATGCCATTCTGAGCTCCATCCTTGCTCTCTGAACACTCGGCACTCAGGGACCACCTCTCTGCCTCCACGCCATCCTTCAGGGAAGCTGACGGTGTGCACCTGTCAATGGCTTTATGGTACTCACCACCCCACTCAACTCCCTTCCAGTCTGTTCAGCCCAGGAGAGCCCAGCTTTGATGTTTAACTTGAGAAAACTAATACTTCTCACAGGAAGCCAAGTGGGTTCTTCCAGGAATATGAGAGTTTCATTTCTTTGTTGCTGTCGTTCAGTCTAAGTCGTGTTCCACTCTTTGTGACCCCATGGACTGCAGCACACCAGGCTTCCCTGTCCTTCACCATCTCCTGGAGCTTGCTCAAATTCATGTCCATCGAGTCGGTGATGCCATCCAACCATCTCATCCTCTGTCGTCCCCTTCTCCTCCCCAGAATCTTCAATCTTTCCTGGGATCAGGATGCTTTCCAATGAGTCAACTCTTCACATCAGGTGGCCAAAGGATTGGAGCTTCAGCTCCAGCATCAGTCCTTCCAATGAATATTCAGGGTTGACTTCCTTTAGGATGGGCTGGTTTGATCTCCTTGCTGTCCAAGGGACTCTCAAGCATCTTCTCCAGCATCACATTTTGAAAGCATCAATTCTTCAGTGCTCAGCCTTCTTTATGGACCCATTCTCCTGTCTGTACATGACTGCTGGAAAAACCACAGCTTTGACTATACGGACCTTAGCTGGCAAAGAGATGTCTCTAATTTTTATTGCGCTTTCTAGGCTTGTCATAGCTTTTCCTCCAGGGAGCAAGCATCTTTTAATTTCATGATTGCAGTCACCCTTCATTTCGATGCCAGGAATGTGAATGAGGTAGGTCTCCAGCCGGTGAAGACACTGCTCTGAGGAGCAGGTGGTGGAATCAGGCAGATGGATTCCAGCGTCACTCCATCACTTTCCAGGTGTGTGTGAAGAGAAGCATGAACCCTCTCAGGCCCCTTCTCTGTTCCTCCAGCAAAACCGTGAGACTAACAACAACCACAGCATAGGGCTGTTGGGAGTCAATGAGATGTATGCAAGCACCAACACCATCAGAAGCAGATAATTAATTCATGTCAGTTCTGTCCCCCTATGCTGAGGTCTGTCTCTATGCACTGAAGTCCATTTAGAAATGATTCTAACATAAAAATGTCTTAGTTTTTTTTTTTTTTTTAAGGGGAAGACGGACTTTTAGCACATAGGTGATTGGTGGAGGGGGGTGTCCCATACTTTTTACAGGGCAGCGAAAACAAAAGTATTAGGTAAAAAAGCTGCCATGTTACAGAAGCTGCCCCAGAGGACATTCGTTGAGTCAAGAAAACAAAATCCAGGAACCCACGGAGGCAAGAGAAAGCATTCAGCTTGTGATTTACGTACTTCTCTTTCCAGGCCAACATGAGCTGCTTCCCAGGACATGGAACCTGGCAAGAGACCCCAGCCTGGAGACGTGCTGAAAGCACATTCAAGGGCAGTTGTGTAAACAGGAGGCCTTCGGGAGCGGCCACCGGCCTTCCTGAAGGATCAGCAGTCCCAGAGCCAGAATTAATTCCCCAGAAGGCAGCAGATGAGCAAACAAATGAAGTCCTTCTATTTGTTCATACCATACTGGCATGATGGAAAATAAATAAAAAATGCTTCGACTCTCTCCCTGGAGGAGCTGCCAGTTTCCAGATCAATTTCTTGAGTTGTGAGTAAATGGAGGAGACCCTCCTTGGAAGGAGGGCAGGCTGCCGAAGAGCGTGTGCAGCCACGGCGGGCTGGGTGGTACGTGCAGGAGGCGGAGCACGGACAGGTGAGGGGAGGTGGGTCAGAGCACAGAGGCATCAGCCCTCGCCTTCTGGGTACTTCTGCGCACGGCCGGTCCCATCGTCCTGTGACCACAGTGAAGAGGCTCCATGCTGACTCCATGGGAAAACAGAGAGGCCTCTGAGTGGGAGAAAGAAAACCTGGATTCTAACACAGTACAGCTTCTTGCTACTTTTGTGTCCTTACCTCGGTTTTTTTCATGTGGTAAAAGAGAAGGGCGAATAAGATATCTTCTTCCATACTCATTACACTCATTCAGTCGCTTAGGCGCGTCCGACTTTTTGCAACCCCATGGACTGCAGCACGCCAGGCTTCCCGGTCCTTCACTATCTCCCAGGCATTTGCTCAAACTCATCTCATCCTGTGTCATCCCCTTCTCCTCCCACCATCAATCTTTCCCAGCATCAGGATCTTTTCCCATGAGTCGGCTCTTTGTATCAGGTGGCCAAAATATTGGAGCTTCAGCATCAGTCCTTCCAGTGAATATTCAGGACCGATCTCCTTTAGGATTGACTGGCTGGATCTTCTTGCAGTCCAAGGGACTCTCATGAGTCTTCTCCAGCACCACAGTTTGAAAGCATCAATTTTTTGGTGATCAGCCTTCTGTATGGTCCAACTCTCATATCCATATACAACTACTGGAAAAACCATAGCTTTGATTGTACAGACGTGTGTTGGCAAAGTGATGTATCTGCTTTTTATTACGCTGTCTAGGTTTGTCTAGCTTTTCTTCCAAGGAGCAAGCGTCTTTTTAATTTCATGGCTGCAGTCACCGTCCACAGTGATTTTGGAGTCCAAGAAAATAAAGTCTGTCACTGTTTCCATACTCACAAAAAAACAAAATCACATCATTCTAAGTCACGGATGGAGATCAATGCTTCCTTGTGTGAAGGTAACAAAGAACTTAGTATCACAGAATTTCTTAGCTCTCAGGAGGAACTGGAAACAAATTTGTCAGCCACCTCCCTGCCCCCATTTTTTGCACGGCGACTTTGGGCACCCGCGCTCCCAGAAGATGCCTTACCTCCGTCGCTGCTGAACTGCCACCGAGGTCCCGGGAAACAAAGAGGTTCACAATGGGCCTGCTGATTCTCTGTGTGGCCAAGATGAGCGCCAGGGGCCACCAGAAGCTCAGCATCTTTCTTATCGTTGCATCTCCCTGCATCAACAAAATGGGATAAAAGTTCGCTGAACTCGAGAAGAGCAGGAAAAAATAATTCAGAATCAAAGCCTCTTCTTCTGATGTCAACCATGAGTCAATTCACTATACTTAAAAATAATGTAGGAAAAGCCTCTGTAGACAAGCCAAGTTGAATTAAAATAAGATGTACAGTTTTATTAGAATTGAACTTAGACAGCTGGCAAGCTCCCACAAAATCAAAACACGCCTTTAAGCTGGATGGATTCAAACCACTATTGTCTAAACAGGGCAATACTAACCCCAGCAGAACCCAGCTTCTACAGCCTGAGAAACAGGTTGGAAAAGTTATTGTTTACATCATTAAACTGACTGGATAGAAGCCATGTTAGTAAGAAGTAACTCATAGAAATAAAACATTATTGTAATTTATTTTGGAATCAGTGTGGTCAAGAATGTGCCTAATTATTTAGGCACTCTATAAGTCTAAGACAGAGGTTCCTAATCTCAAGGCTCTGACAGAAGTCATGTAAATATTCAGAAGCATAAGCAAAATAAAAGCATAGTAAAGAGAAAGCTATTTATTAACAATTCCACAGCAAAGATAGGCACTATCCTTAACACCTGGCTTTTATCAAGTGACTTTGGTTTTGATTCTTCATAAAGGTAAGTGTTGCATCCTGGAGCCATCTCAGTCACTTTATTTTCTTTTGCTAGCAGCTGAATGTTAAGATGGATTGCTGCCATCAAGACCAATCTGATGTGGTGTTCCTCATGATGGAAATATCTCAATCTATTATTGATGGCCTGACTTCAGATCAAGGTGAGTAGTCAGTACAAGGACTGTTTTGACATGACAAAAGTAACATGTGGTCAAAGGTGGGATTAGGGTTAGAGTGTGGTAATGTACTCAATTTATATATAAATTGAAATTGCTAGTCATTCAGTCATGTCTGACTCTTTGCAACCCCACAGACTGTAGCTCACTAGGTTCCTCTGTCCATGAGATTTCCCAGGCAAGAGTAGCTATTCCCTTCTCTAGAGGATCTTCCTGACCCAGGAATAGAACCTGGGTCTCCTGCATTGCAGGCAGATTCTTTATTGTCTGAACCACCAGAGAAGCTCTCTCTCTATACATATATATATATACACACATACACACACATTCATGTACATATATACATACCACTTTGCATGCTAAGTGGCTTCAGTCACGTCTGACTCTTGTGACCGCATGGCCTGTGGCCTGCCAGGCTCTTCTTGTCCATGGAATTCTCCAGGCAAGAATACTGGAGTGGGTTGCCATGCCCTCCTCCAGGGGATCTTCCCAACCCAGGGACAGAGTGGTCTATTTATATTTATATATAAATATAAAGTCATATCTATTTGAATTATAGTTGGATAGATACCAACCCAATTGATACCAGAGGGTAGAGAAGATTAGCATACATATAATTAGATACTATTTACACCGGTGATGAAAAGAACGCTTTGGTCACCTGGGTAAGATTATACCTTGCTTGTACCATATTCACTTTTCGAGGCACAGGCCAATCTCTGCCTCCATAAGGAGGGCTTCTGAGACCACATCCCTCTCTTCCTTCTCTCAGCCTCAGAGGGAAGCTCTTATATTCCCATTGTGGTCTGTGCCATCTTGTCTGAATATTATTTCTGTGTTGGTGACTAAGCCAAATGGGACATAAAGCTGACTGAGGCCACAGACCATATTTAAAATTTCCTGTGTCACCTAAACCCTCCCCAACTCTCTCTGTAGAAGGTGCCTGAATGAGTGTGTTTAGCCAGTACAGAAAGCCCAAACACAGCCTGGATCCCTGCTGTGAAATTAAACAAATGTGAGTTCAATGGTACCAGGGCTCCTGAAGTCTTTGTCGATCACAGAGTGGCTTCCTTTCGACCACAGAGTGAGAAGAACCATGAACACTGTGTTTCCTCCTGGGCCTGACCTGACTCACTGTGACTCAGTCTTCTCGGACGGAGATAGGAAGGCTGGAGAGTGGCCTATAAGGTCTCCCTTCCATCTCCAGAGTTCATCTGCTCTCCAGCTGTTTATCCCTGTGGACATTACCGAGCACCTGACCTTGGGATAGGACACCCCAGAGCACGTGCCTGTTACGCTGATATGTCGAATCACAGGGGTAGGATCAAACTGTGTTCCCCTTGGATGTACAGACAGGCCGTCCTCGGGGTCTAAGGACCTACCCCCAGCTCCGGTCCACTCCTGTCCGGGATGATGTCGTGGATGTTCTTGTAGTAGCCCAGACACAGGGTGGTGCAGCGCACGAGGGCGCCCATGTACAAGGACAGGATGGGGATGAGCAGCGGCTCCCTGCATTCCAGGTGACTGTGAAGTAGAATGGCTACAAAAACGACCTGAGAGGTGGGGAAACAGACAGTCATCAGGGAGACGACGGAACCAAGTAACAGGAGCCCAGCCCAACCTCTTGCACCCAGACTGAGATGGATCTCTGAGCAAAAGCCTTGACACTGGAGGTAAGGACAGCAGGACCTGGGGCTATCGCGCAAGGCTTCTCTCGGAGAATCCAGGGTCAGGTGTTTGGGAAGCACTGGAAGAACACACGGTCACTCTGTTATGCTCACCACTAAGTATTTTTTCTAAGGCAACTGCACATCTGGTTAAGGTTATTGCCAAAGACTACCCAGAAGCTTTGGTTTCCCAGACCCTAAACGATGCAGAAGAGTTTTTCCCTCTCCAGGAACACATGTAATCCACGCCAGAGGACCTAAGTGACCTTCCACAAAGGACAGAATAGTGACGAATGACGGGACACAGGAAAACAGCCATTTACATTTACAACGTGGATTCCACTAAACATGCTGTGAAAGCCACCAGTATTTATTATTATAAAACCAGACAATCAAAATTACAATTGACTTATAAAAGTGGCATAGGTCAAAAAAATACAAAGTCAGCAGGGATTGAAATAACAGTAAAGTGTCAATCTCTATTGAATGGTACAGGCTCTAAAGCAAATTTATCAAATTATTTAACCTCTCATCCTTTGGAAGTGAGGGAATCAGTCCAGCCTCTAGGCAGAGTCCTGGGAGTCCCATCTTGGGAGAATCCCTGACGAATAGTGGGTGCAGAGGTAGGAAAATAGGGGAGGGGAGAGAGTATCTGAGCTACATCAACCTTCTTAGCCAATCATCCATGGAAGAATAGGCTTGTGAAATATACCACCGCTAAGTGAGCCTGACCAAAGGAGGTGTATTCTGATCACTGCATTCTCAAGAAATGACTGGTGACAGAAAGTTAAAAAAGAAGCTGGAGAATGAGCACGATTCACCAAATGAGTGCATTCAATTGCTACAGGGAACAGAGCAATCCAGAGGAACTTTGGAACGAAAGAAAGGTATTAGACGTTAAAGGTGGTCAGCTTATCCCACAAACTGACATGTGTGCTGGGGCTGTTGTTCTTAAACCACTAAATGCTACAGAATCAGTCAGAGATGACCTCAGGAATGCAGACGACAGAGCTATGACCCGGCTGCCTGGACAGGACGTGGCTGCCCGGAGCGTGGATGACGCGAGTGTCCATTCACGCCCCCAATCACACACTCACGTTCATCCTGAGGATACAGTGGAGCCCACTGATGGAAGGAAAGATGCCTGTGACTGTCTCCATGCCCGCTGCTTCCCGGGGGAACAAACGTTCTGTATTATCTAAAGGATGGCAAAGACTAGCTGAGCAAAGCCTTGTTAAGGCCCCATTGTGTTCGGAACAGAAGACCAAGTTTTGCGATGTGGCCAAGATGCCCATTTATTTCTCTAACTAATCAGAAACTAGTATGTCTGCAGCAGGCTTCACATATTCGACATACACAAACCTATGGTATTAATGATAGTGTTTAGAGACTGAGAACACGTTGGAGGGAAAATGAATATGTGAAGATGACCCCCTCCTCTGCCAAGTCCAGGAAGGCTCCTGGTGGCGCCATCAGGACGGCCAGATGAGCAGAACCAAGGAAGGGGATCTGGACGTGAAGGAAAAGGGAGGGGGAGGTATGCAGAGGACCAGAAGGAGGAGCAGAGCGGGCTAGAGTGGGACAGAGGCAGGCAGGAGACATTCGGCCTGGACCAGTCCAAGGCCAGAGTGATGGTTTTGTCAGCCTCCCTCATGTTGTTAATAGCTTGATGCCATGTGGTCCAACACTTATTGTACATCTTACATCTTCACCGTGGGTTGGGTCAGTTATCAATTTAAAACAATACCTGGCCCTTTTGATTTTCAATCCAGAATTAAGATTTTTGAATCTGATACAGCCATCAAAACTGTATCAGGTTATTTTGAGAGCGGAACCTACAGACTCAGTAGTGAGGATTTTCCCAGGGAGAGCCTGCTCTGGGCTGGGGATTCAGTGATGGATAAGGTAGTCCCAGACTCTGTTCTCCTGGAGCAGACAACCTTACGGGAAAGGCAGGAGTCATGGTCAACCCCTGACAAGGCCCGTGAAGGGAAGAGGGCAGTGGTGCTGGGAGTGGGGAGGAGGCTGTGGAGTGAAGGGGGTCGCACCGTGGGGGTGCATCTGAGCAGAGACCCAGAGCCCAGGCAGCTGGCTCGCAGTGGGTGGCAGGAGCCGGTGGTGGGTGGTGGGTGGGGAGAGCAGAGGCCAGGGCAGTCCCTGGGGGAATTCCCAGGGGGAGGGGCTTGGCCACATCCGGTCTGGAAGGGAGGATGGGGGCCTGGAGGACAGAGAGCGAGGGAACAGAGGAGAGTGGTTGGGCTGGGGAGGAAGCAGGGCTGGTGGATTTTCAGCCCCTCTCAGCCTGTGATCAGGATACTGGCTTTTTATCTCAGGAACACCAGGAGGCAATCTGAAAGCAGGTACGAGGAGGGGGTGAGGTGGCCAGAATGTCACTGAGAATCGATTAATGTGGCCCCATTGGGGGAGGAGAGAGGAGACCCAGAGCAGAGGGGCAGGCCTGGGCACAGGAGGCATCTCTAAGGATCCAGGTGGGAGGGCTGACCTCTCAGAACAGAGCAGCAGAGATGGGGAGAAGAGGGCTGACAAGGAAGCATCTAGGATTAAATGTTTTAGACAGATGGGAATGAAGAGGGATGCTGCCCGGGTGGCTCCCGGGTTTCTGAGCAGATGGTAGGGGCAGAGATTCATTCAAAAATGCAGTCATCAAGATCATGAAGATTATGAATTGAGGCTTACGATGCCTATGAAGGATCTGAATGGAAATATAGAGACATTCAGATGCCTTGTCTAGAGCCCAGAGCAGAGGGCTTGGCTGCAGACATTTATTTGGTGAATATCAGTCATGTTACAGATGGTATAATTGCGGGGCACCCATCAGATTCTTCATGAATAGAATACACAGTGAGGAGACATGGGTCTTGAGCAACTTCAGCATTTACACATCAGTAGATGATCTGGGCTGTCAGAAGCAGAAGAAAAACCAGGATATGTTGGTGTGAGAGCCAGTGGGAAGGGGTGTTTCATGGAGGAGGGCGCAGTCAACAGAATGAAGAGTTACTGAGACATCCACCAAGTCAATGAAAACTGTTGCACTGGATTCAGTGGCAGGCAGGTCATTAGTGAGACCTGTGTGGGTGAGCTGATGGGAGAGGAAGTCAGTCTGCAGTAGGTAAAAGAAGGACAGAGAAGGGAAGATATGGAGACCCGGGTGGAAACCACCTTTCTGAAAGGTTTGGCTGTGAAAAAACAGAATTGTAGCTACAGAGGTACCTGGGAGCCAGAAAAGCTTGTTGCTGATGCTGCGGTTGTGGTTGTTTTAAGGTGGCAGAAGTCTGAGCATGTTTCCACATCAAGAGAAATGATCCAGGGGAGAGAGAGGTGATGAATAAGGTTCCCCAGAAAGCAGGACAGGACAGGCTCCCAGGCACCGGAGGAAGAAGTGGGGTGGGACCAAGGAGGACATGACCTTTCCTGTAATGGGGGGAGCAGGGGTGATGCCAGGGTCTGAAAGCAGGCAGGTGGGTTTGAGGTCCTCAGGGTCGTGGGCAGTGAGGTCATTTGCTGGGGACAGTGAGGTGGGTGGGGACCCTCGGACATGGTCACTAGAGTCAGCTGAGGTGAGTGATGAGATTGTGAATTTATACTGCGATCAGTTTGTCCCACTGTGAAACTTTTTGCAGGAGCACTTGCTACCTGGGTACAAGCGGTGCAACGTGCACACCACTGCGTGGTTCACGACTGGGATCTTTGGGATCTTGCCAGAAGGCCGAGATGGAAAGGCAGGAGACAAGGGGACTTACAGTAGTGCAACCACATTACTCAACTGGTATCCTGGGATCCCATCTCTGGGGTCTGAGCTGACTTCAGAAGGCCAGGGCTGATGATAGCAGACAGGGGAAAGGACTAGATGTCCCAGTGAGGCCCAACAACTCCAGTCCCCCACAACGAAGTTTCATTTGATACTAAGCAAGTTAAGAAAGTCCAGGTGATCATGAAATAAATACAAAGCATATGATTATTAAATAATGGTGACACAGAAAACTATATCATGTTGGAACCAAACCAAGAGCTTTTTTTTTGTATTATGATATGAAATTAATTAGGTTACTAAAAATTACTTTTTAAACAGGAGTTGGCACTGAAGCTCAAGGCATTACAAACTGTTTTCATGTTATCACTGGTGATCACTCCCTTCCTATCTATGCCAAGGTGGTATTTCAAGGGTCTTTGCCTAGAACTCTATATGATTTCAATATCTTTAGACCATAGAATTTTTGAACCTTGTTTTATGTCCCTGGATATGTTCCAATGTCTCCTAGTTTATAGTCTACGGAAACTTGAATATAATTTGTATTCTACTGCTGTGTGAAAATTGCATAAATCTTAATTATGTTGAATAGGTTCACAGTGCTTTATAGGTCTACCATATTCTTCTACTTTTCCAAATATTCATTTTATTAATTTTTTGAGAGTTTGATATTGAAACTCCAACCAAAGATCTTAATCAGTTCAGTTCAGTCGCTCAGTTGTGTCTGACTCTTTGTGACCCCATGAACCACAGCATGCCAGGCCTCCCTGTCCATCACCAGCTTCCAGAGTCCACCCAAACCCATTCCATTGAGTTGGTGATGCCATCCAACCATCTCATCCTCTGTCGTCCCCTTCTCCTCCTGCCCTCAAACCTTCCCAGCATGAGGGTCTTTGCAAATGAGTCAGCTCTGTAGATTAGGTAGCCAAAGTATTGGAGTTTCAAGTTCAACATCAGTCCTTCCAATGAACACCCAGGACTAATCTGTTGTATCTCCTTGCAGTCCAAGAGACTCTCAAGAGTCTTCTCCAACACCACAGTTCAAAAGCATCAATTATTAGGCACTCAGCTTTCTTTATAGTTCAGCTCTCACATCCATACATGACTACTGGAAAAACATAGCCTTGACTAGACGGACTTTGTTCACAAAGTAATGTCTGCTTTTTAATATGTTGTCTAGGTTGGTCATAACTTTCCTTCCAAGGAGTAAGCGTCTTTTATTTCATGGCTGCAGTCACCATCTGCAGTGATTTTGGAGCCCAGAAAAATAAAGTCAGCCACTGTTTCCATTGTTTCCCCATCTATTTGCCATGAAGTGATGGGACCAGATGCCATGATCTTAGTTTTCTGAATGTTCAGCTTTAAGCCGAGTTTTTCACTCTCCTGTTTCACTTTCATCAAGAGGCTCTTTAGTTCTTCACTTTCTGCCATAAGGGTGGCGTCATCTGCACATCTGAGGTTATTGATATTTCTCCCAGCAATCTTGATTCCAGCTTGTGCTTCCTCCAGCCCAGCATTTTTCATGATGTACTCTGCATATAACTTAAAAAAGCAGGGTGACAGCATACAGCCTTTACGTACTCCTTTTCCTATTTGGAACCATGTTGTTGGAACATGTTGGAACATGTTGTTCCATGTCCAATTCTAGCTGTTGCTTCCTGATCAGCATACAGGTATCTCAAGGGGCAGGTGAGGTAGTCTGGTATTTCCATCTCCTTCAGAATTTTCCACAGTTTATTGTGATCCACACAAAGCCTTTGGCATAGTCATTAAAGCAGAAATAGATGTTTTTCTGAAACTCTCTTGCTTTTTCAATGATCCAGCAGATGTTGGCAATTTGATCTCTGGTTCCTCTGCCTTTTCTATAATCAGCTTGAACATCTGGTGTTGTACCCGGATCGCGGAATCCCACCAAACACCACAGGAGCCGCGGATTGATGCAAAAGCAGTGAGGAACTTTATTACAAGCTCGAGCAGGGACTCTCTTCGTACAATGGCGAAGGAGTCCCTCGTGAAAGAGGCGAATCATTTTTATACTGTATAGCAGGGGAAGCGGGAAGGGAAGCTTAAGGGGATTGGTTAATTCTTCAACTAAGGGTGTCTTGTTAGCTACTGATTGGTGGGTTAGAGTAAGGGGTGAGGGACTTTCCTGTCCTCCCCTGATTGGCTCGTTAAGTTTCTTTTTCTTTAAATTTTGTTTTCTCTCTTCACGTGGGGGTTTTACTCAAAATGGCGGTGCTATCCTAAAATGGAGTCGTTTGGGTTTCACATTTCCCCCTCTTCTAGTTTCTATGGGAGGCCCAATCATGGGTCTTCTACAGAGTCAACTATATCAACTGTGGAGACAGTCGAATATTGAGATCTGAGTAACATTAGGTGGACAGTATTAAA